GACCGTGTGTCGGTCGCCTTTGATATAACACGTTGTTTTCGTGTGTCAACCGACAAGTTTTATGCCGTGTGTTGATATCATTATAATTTATAATAGTTTGTGGTAATTGCATCGATCGTCGGTCGGTTTTGTTGTATTTCTTCGTGTGCGGGTTGACTCACCGACACCACCCGTCACACACGTTGTTGCAAGTGCTCGCATTGTCGCGTGCTTATGTATTAAGTTGTGGAGGTCTTGTGTGGCTGGTAACATATATTTCGGKAGGTCTCACCATCGCCGAGCTTCTAAAATATAATTTGGCGATTTCGCGGGATCGCGCAAACCATCCACATCAATATCCGTAATCGTCGTGGGATCCCGCCATCATTGTGACCAGCGGTATCGTTGCTATTATTATTATTGTATTTTTTTTGTATTTGTATTAGATTTTGCATATTTTGCACTTATTGTGCTTTTTATCTTATATTATTGSCATATGGTTGTATTTATTCCAGGGCGCCCTCCCCTTTTTTATACATTGGTTTTATGTATAATTCAGTCTATTTTTCGCGACAATGGTCGAGTTTGTTATTATATTGTATTAGTCATTGATTAATAAGTTTGTATTCAACTGGGTAACCTTACGTCCTATACACCGTAAGTCGGTATAGCCAACCGCTAAACTCGTAGGAGCTATATCGGCGATCAACAAATTATTTGTATTATTTTGTAATATTTCGGATTTCCCTTTTATCGTGATAAAATATTTCATAAAATGTGTAAGCAATCTTTATTTCTCAATCAGATATAACATTTTAATCAGGATACATAAAATATTTAACACAGATCCACAAATTATATACTATATACTTTATCTAGCAAATATTGTCATAATTAGTGCTAACACTGAATAAAATGCTCGGCATATAGGTATGTATTAATAATAGAATATTATAATCACATGAGTAATATCCGTATGGGAACATTGGGAACACGTTTTCATGTATTCATTCAATCCAATACTACTGTAGATTACATTATATTCCAAGGCAGTATAAATATTTAATACAATATGGGTAAAAATATAGAAATTTACAAAAAAAGAATTTTTTTCAAGTGTTATATTGTGCGAAAATTTTATTTTTAATATTGGTTAAATTATTTTATCATTATAATTCCACCACACAATAAATATCGTACATAAAGATATAATATAAAACTCGACGTTTCTATTTTTCGTTAAAAATAACTTTAAGGATAAAACATAATAACCATTTATCATCCAATTATTTCGAACGAATATAAATAAAGATTTACGTAATGATGCGTGTATCATATGTGAAGTTTGCGTTATAATAGAAAACTCACCACAAGAACCTTTTGTTCGGGAGGGTGGACAAATAATCTAGACGGTTTTATAAAAAGGAAGGGACATAGTGGATTTCTGGACGACTCAATCCGCCGCTATAGTGGTATACACCAGAATCCCGAAAACAATTTTCTCAGCCAGATAAACGCGCCTCCGGATGGGCGGTTCCCGGTTTGGGGTTGCTAACCGAACATTAGGGATTTTATCGAACCGTCCCGTTCAAGTGTATAATATTCTTTCCGTCGTTTTACGACCAATGGGGTTTTGGACGACCAGTATTCAACGTTGCAATTGATATCCGATGTACCATTCCAATACTTTGGTGTAGTCATTTCTTTACTGGTATACGATACGGACCCAAGTGTAACTCTACACCTATATTATGTCGAGAGACGTTGACGTATACGTTACCAGTAACGGTATAGTAATAGTTTATACCGAGGGTAATTTATATCGACGATACCATACATAAAAATCGTYACGTGTAAGTAAGTAGTAAGTATAGAACTGATTCACCTTTCTCCGTGTATGTTGTATGTCCAAAAAACATTATATTAATATCGATCATAATTAATAAATTTAAAATATATTGTTAAAAATGTTCATGTAAAAATATATGTTATTACTTTATTTAATATTTCATTTTATATTGTGTATTGTATTTGGAATTATATTAATTAAACATTTCTTTCGATTATGTTGAATCCCAATTTCATCGATTATTTCAGAAATCTAATTGTTCTGAGCTTTGCCTTACATTGTATAATATATTTTAAAGTATAAAAGATAAACGAAACATGAATTACGTTACTTTTATAACGATGATTTTTGTTTGATTTCGTTTTTTCCTGTAACATACATTTAAGGCATACAATTGTATTACACGTAGTTACATTTATCGTTTGGAAACCATGTCAGCAGAATAGTGTTGATATTGAAATTATAATTCGGTTCTCTTGTTTGTTTCCTTAAATGCAATCGAAAACTCCTGATAACCGTCAACAATTATTGTTAAAGAAATTTCAGGAAGAACTATACATAAACGTAAAGCACTACTGTATCGAGAATATGTCCGCCATTAATTATTAAAGTTTGCACCTACCTAAGACTACTGTGTATATATATATTTTTTTTAATTTAGAGAATGTCAGCATAACATTGGCTATCTTTGATTAAGACATGTGCACAATAGAATACACGTTCTTTGTATTTTTCATTTCGTGACGTCTGAGGGGGGAGGGTTGGATAGACCCAAGGTATTAATATATAATACATCATAATATAAAAAATATATTATTAAAGATAAAGAAAACAATATATATATATATATATATATATAGGTACCTACTCAAAGTTTTATGAAGTAAGGAAAAAAAGTATTTAAATGTTTAAGTTTTATATGTATTTTATGACTTATAATGAAGAATTATAATATTAATTAAATTACAGTATCACAGTGAGTATAATCTAGGTGAGTAGATCACCCTTTTTTATTTCTCATGTTAACTTAATGTAAAGTTATCGATGTCATTTATTTGATATTGTTGGTATATTTTTCACTTTTTTGAAGAGCTTGGATTTCTCGTATTTTATGTACGTACATATGGTGAACTCTTAATATTTTAACTTAACTTTTCCATGCAATTTGTATTATGTTTTTAATTATTATTATTATAATTTATAAAAATCAATTATCTCTAAATGATTTTCTTTTTACATATTTACCAGAAAGTTATTGACATTTGTAACACCAAAACTAATGAATAAAAATATTAATATTAAAAAAGCAGCATAGATATATTACATAGCAATTGATAGCATACACTTGATTGCTACCTACATTTTAAATAAAATATAATTTCATTTTCTGCTATGAGTTAAATATAGCAGCATTACATATTAAACTTAAAAACGGTTTTAGCTTAATATTTTCAAAATATAGATACCTAGCCTAAATAATATTATTTTTTTGTTTTGTTATTATTGTTAAGTTCAGTCTTGGCAGCTGGAGCATGCACTGACAAATATTAACTTATACATACCTAATAGCGTAAAATTATTTTAATTTTAAACTGGGTAAAGAAATGCATCATATTATTATTAGAGATTTAAAATCAAATTATTTCATAAGTTATAAAAGCAAAAGAAAATATTGAAGTTATATCTATCATARCTCACCATTACAATGTGATCCAATCCGTGAACCACCACAGACTTTTTTGGGCCTGCTAAATATATGAAACTGTATTTAATAATTTAAAAATTTCCTTACGAGGCATGACATTCAGTAACGCCAAATCGACAAATTACAATTATATATACCTACTTACAGGCTAAAATATACATAATACAGTTTTCATATACAGTGACTATACACAGTGGTCACTATTCTGGTCGCAATTTTGTACCTACTATTAAGAAAAATAATAATTTGTAAACTATAGCGAGCGTGATTGTTTTCGAATAACTGTGATGTATAATAATATATAATAATTCGTCATATTTATTTGAATGTATAATTTTAATTGACCAACAGACTAAAAAAAGATGGGCTGCTTTGACCTACAGTATAAAATGGCTGAGTTTGAGTATAATAGATATAAAATAAACTTTGGTTGAAATAAATAAATGATTTTTGGTATTTATGGTATTATTTTTTAATTTTTATCAGTATTTGTATGAATGTCTTACCTAATKTTTAAAATAACAATTTTTTTACCTGTTATCTGTATCTCATCTCGTTCGTGAGCTTAAATTTATCTTAATTATATTTAAATTATATTGTATTTGTTTAAATCGGCGATGGTCCAATACAATGTTTTACAACCTTTGCGTATTGATTTCAACTTTTAAACATCGATTTATTATTGTTTTAGGATGTTCAATGAATCCGGATGCAAAAAGGCTGTACGATGACCTTTTATCAAATTACAACAAGCTCGTAAGGCCTGTGCTCAACAATACTGATCCGCTACCTGTACGGATTAAGCTCAAACTATCACAGCTCATCGACATTGTAAGTTACGATAACAATTAAAAATCATTAATATAATAACTCAAAGTTAAAAAATATATTTTCAAAGCTAGTATTCACTCATAACTAAACCATTAATCGATATAAACATAATATAACTATTTTTAAATTATTCAAAGTATTTGATTCGATTTGTATGATATTCCTGTGATTTGAAATAAGAAAAATTACATTAATAGTGATAAAAATACATGGAAATATAGAGATGAGCGATGAGCCATATAATTTTTTTTTTTTAATTTGAATTAAGCCTCGGCAACTATGGCCATTGACAACAATGGGTTTAACTCTAAATTATGAGCCATATAATTGTAAGGTTTTAAAACCTTAAAACTTGACTTTTTTTCATATTTTTAATACTTTTTGATATTTTAATTAAAGGTATACTTATAGTCTACCTAAACTTTCAGTAATTTGGTAGATAGGGATTTTTAAGGTGTGGTTGCAACTTTGCAAGAACAAATTTACAAACCAAAACAAACAAGTGCCGTCATCCAAATATACCATATTGGTGGGTTGTATATAGATACCAAATTATACTTTGGTACTTATTATCAAAAATTTATATTTTTTAAAATTATTTATACCGTTATACCTATAAATAATTATAATAAATATCAGTGATTTGTTTTAATAATGTTTGATTATAAATTTTAAGCAAACGAAGTTATGTTACCAAACAAAAGTAAAATTTAGGTTTTAATTTTTGATAATTATGTAAATCAATTTTCTGTTATTGATTATACAGACTTTTCTGTCATGATTTGTACATACTAGGCCACCAACACGTATAATATATCATAATGCACGTTCAGCAATTTAAATTTTGTGTTGAAAGCTTAAATATTAGAGTGTATTAACCTATTATCAAACTTGAGGGCCGGTACACATGAGTGTATTTATACTCGTATATATACCCTAACCTATTATGTATAGATATAAAATATACATGCGATAAAATATCGTGCGTAGAAAATAACACTCGTGTGTACCGGCCCTAAATGTTATATTGAGAATCTTGATATATGAGCATTTTCAAAAATTAATATTTTAAATCTTCATAACAGTCATAACTCACTTAAAAATTAAAATATCGTAAAAACCAACAAAACAACACAGATAATATTCTTACAATTAAGTTTTATAACATGTCAATTCACTCCTCTAATATTTAAGATAACAATAGAAAATTGGAACTATTGTATGTAAGTCTTAGTGCATTATGCGTTAATAAGACGGAGAAAATATTATGTGTAGGTATGGGGGTACAACATCCTCTCAAAACGTTGAACTGCTCTTAATTTTTATAAAACTATATTTTTGAAATTAAAGTAATCATTTTTACAGTGCATTAGATGAATTTTTCATATTAATCATCAAATATCGATCGAATCACATAGGTACAATAAAGTTTTGAAAACAATCGATAACACTCATATACTATTGTTTAATGTTTATAAACAAAAAGAACAATCAATCTATCGACAATATAAAACTTTTATGTTCTCATATATGATATGATATTGAATAATAATACATAATAAATACATTTTGAACGATGCTTATAATGATTTGAAGCATTTAAAAAACATTTTCCATGCTTCTCTCAGAACTTAAAAAATGTATTTATTTTTATTAGATAAAATAAATATTTTTGAAAAATGTAAGATAGGTTATAGGTAATGTTTAAATTTTAAACAGTTAGCACAAAGTTTCATAATCATAAATACTTTCAATTCTAATCAATAATTGAAAAATATCAATCGATTAATGAAGTAATAACTAGATATTTATTATCTTTGTGATAATGAAGTTTTGAACTTCCTTCTAGTTACAACATAAGATATTTTACTATGTAAACAATAATAAGAATGAAAATATAAGTATTTTCTAAAAGTTATGCTTACAAATTTGAACTTTATTAGAGCAAAAACCATAATATGTCTTATTATGGTTATAATAATATTGAAATTATTAATGGAAAAAAAAATTTTAAATACTTACCAACATAATATATATCATTAATCTATGATTTAACTACTATTTATAGAGAAGATATATGAAACAGGCATAAAAAAAAAATAAAAATAAAAATTAGTGCCTTAATATTTTAGTGTATTTGTTAGATGTTATTGAAAAATAAAAATAGTTATCAAAACTGTGCCACAACTTTGATTAGTTAAGATAATAATACGTGATGTGTCATGAATAAAATAAGTTTGAGAATCACTAATTTATATACTAGGTACATAAATAATTTATAACATTTACAACTTTTTTCAATCTTTTTAATGTTAATAGTAAAAGTTTTGAATAGCTTCTTAACATTATACAATACAGTCAGCAATATATTCAATAGTTTAGCATACATTTTTTAATGAAAAATTGATGTTAATAAATTTTTGTATTTGGAATGGAGAAATACTTTAACGATTAAAAGTTCCGTGTAAATCAAAAATATTGTCTCGGTATAATATCTAAAAAAATTATTTATATACCTACCTAATATTTTTCATTATGATTACACACACTTTTTAAAATACCTATATTGTATTTATTTTGTTTAATTTAAAAAAAAAACCATCATTATTAATTAAATTAATTAATTATTTATCTTAAAATAGATTAAATCTAATTTATTTGACCCAATTATTTTTGTTTTCAAGATACCTATTGTGATTGTTGATTTAAATTTTTATTGGGATATCTGACTTTAGTTTGTAATACAGTTAAATGAAAGGACTTTAAATACAAAATACTTTGCTTACTTTGTATGGTTTAGTGTATCGTCTTCATATTATTCTTATATTTTTATTTAATAAAAATAGATTTTTTAAGCTTATATGTTTTCGTTTAAAACTTACAACCATAAAAACAGATAAGAATACTTCAATTGATTTATTGAGATTTTTTTTAAAAACTATATGACTAGGCTGTATTTTTTTCTTTCTTAAACTCGAACTAGTTATTGAAAATATAGTATTATATTATTWATGAGATCTTTGATATAGTTAAGACTTTTCTTGAAACAAAGACGTCATAAATGCATAGTATATTTTTATAAATATTTATTTATTTGGTTTAAAACATTTTTGACACAATGTCAAAKAAAATTATTGTTAGCAGTAATTAATTTATAATTTGTGTTATACATCCTTACTGTAAATTAAATTTAGTTTTAAAACGAAGAGGCGTTTGAACGAAATGTGGGGCGCCCGGGAATTAGGCCACAATTCACCTTTTTTTCAAAGGCATACGGTAATTGGGCCACTAAAATTTTATATTTATTACAGGTAGGCCCGGTAATTGGGCCACTAAAATTTTATATTTATAATAGGAATACCCGGTGATTGTGCCACTATTACATTTTAAATTGTAATAAAATAAAATTTGGGGGTGAAGTGGCCGAGCGGACTAAGGCGTCTGTTGCCCTGCACGCAGTCGCCGGTTCGAACCTCAGTCACGGGCGGCATATCGCTCTTTGGGCATTTCGCGGTGTCTGGAGAGAGAGGCCGCCGCCCCCCAACCGGGCATGGCAGAAACCTACGGGTGCCCATTCAAAATTCTGCCAAAAATACCCACGTGCTTAAAACCTACAATACCTTCCCCTACAGTTCCCCCAGGCTAATGACCTC